CTCACCAAGTTGCCCAGGCGGGTCTCGAACCCGCGGTCTCAGGCAATCCACTCACCTCAGGCACCCAAAGCACTGGGATTACAGGCTGAGCCACCGAGCTGGCTTGCTTTGATACTCTAACCCTCCCATCTGTTTCTTCCTCTACCAGGAAGCTGAGCCCAATTACCAAGTCCTGATGCGCATCCTTGTCTCCCGATGTGAGACTGACCTGCTGAGTATCAGAGCTGAGTTTAAGAAGAAATTTGGGAAGTCCCTCTACTCGTCTCTTCAGGTGAAACTTGGCCGTGTCCTAGCCTGGAGCCCTAGTACCTGGCTCCTCATCTCCACCCACACTCCCTGCTCACAGCCGAGCATATTCTTGCTCTGTGGTTCATTTTGTGCAGGACCCTAAGGGAGGATCCTTCCCTCCTGGACGGCTGCCACGGACCAGCATGAGGGAGGGGACAGAGTACCTGGGCCATAGCCTGGTGGGGCCTTTTTTTTTTTTTTTTGAGTTGGAGTCTCACTCTGTCGCCCAGACTGGAGTGCAGTGGCCACTCCTGGCCACCGCAGCCTTGACCTGCTGGGCTCTGGCAATCCTTCCGCCTCAGCCTTCTGAGTAGCCGGAATTACAGGCATGCGCTACCACGCCCGGCTGACTTTTGATTTGTTGTAGAGATGAGGTCTCGCCAAGTTGCCCAGGCGGGTCTCGAACCCGCGGGTTCAGGCAATCCACTCACCTCAGCCTCCCAAAGGCATGATATTACAGGCTGAACCACCGAGGCCATCCTGGTGGGGCTTTCTAACACTGAAATCCCTTGTCTGTAGGATGCAGTGAAAGGGGACTGCCGGCCAGCCCTACTGTCCCTGTGCAGAGCTGAAGACATGTGAGGCTTCCCTGCCCTGACCCCCACGGGCCACTCAAGGATCTGAGATTCCCATGCTTGGCTGAGCCTGCAGGAGCCCAGCAGGGCCTCCAGCCAGGAAAACCCCTCACTGAGCATCACACGCACCAGCTTCTTGTTGAGGCTGGAACTGTTTCTTTTAATCCCTCAGTCTTCCTCATCTCAGATTGATGACTGTACCTGGGTCCTCTAGCTCCGTCCTGGGTGTGGGTGACGAGATCTCTGACAGTTTCTGCCCCTCTCATCCTTCCTGTGCCCTGGCCAGGACACCTCGCTGGTACTTGAATTCTTCTGGCAACCTTCACTGTTGTTTGTGTTCCCTGATTGAAGTTGGGGTGGAGCAGGACGTGGACTGGGAAGAGGCCTTGGGACTGGGGCCCCTTTGATGTGCACTTGGCTGGTCACCAGGAATCCTGTTTTTGCCTGGTGTTGCAGTCATCAACACCCCCCTGGGCTCCCCCCAACTCACTCCCCAGAAAATTTCAGGCATAATAATTGAGAAACAGACACCAGAACAAGGTGAGAGGTGATCAGAGGTAGCAAAGGACCGACTGTCTGAACTGGGAAGAAGCAGAGGCTCAAGCTGCCCCCTCAGCCTGGGAATCCTTGGGCTGGCAGAGAAGGCAACCCCCAAGTTCAAGTGTCCAAGCTGGGTTTGGAACCCACCTCCCCTTAGAGCGATCAAAAACCAGAAGGCAGGCTTTGGCTCCCTCTGCCGGCGCTTTGAGAAATGACAGGCAACCTCCTTCTCTTCACCCACCTCCCCCGTTTTGCATTCTTGAGTCAGGTCGAATACTTAACCCCGTGGCAGCAGAGCATGGCAAACAACAGAGCTCAGGGAAGAAGTTTTATTTCCAAACCCCAGGAAGGCATTACAAATAATGGAGACAGAAACCCAAATCAAACTCTGAAACCAATGGTCCTAGGGGCACACAGGCCTCCAGGGACTAGATGCAGAGATGCATTCCAGAAAGGGACCTCACCCTGGAGCCTGAGGCTGAATGTTTCTGTAACTATTCTGGGAACCGGAGCTGGGAACCAGGAAACTTCCCCCCCCCACCAATCCCAACGATGCCTAGGATGGGAGAGAAGGCAGCAGCACATGAGGGCGAGGACTTTCCCCGTCTGACCTGGGCGTTTGCTGCTTGCTCTGACCCCACAGCCTATTGATAAGTTACCCTGTGCATCTCCGTGACTGAGTTGGGGCGGGGGCAAGCAAACTCAGAGAAGGGCAGGTCTGGCCAGCAGGGCACCAGGCCCAGCTAGAGCAGAACACAGTCCGACTCGTGCTTCGTCCGCTGTCGACGTTCCCCGGCTGGGCGTCCTGATGAGCCTCCTCTCCCCTGGATGGGATTAGCAAGAGGTCATCCAGCAAGCTTGGAAGAGCACAAGAACAGAGACCGAGGAGCAAGGGGGGTCAGGATCAGAGAGGGCAAGGCGGGGAGGAAGACAGGAAGGGGCGCCAGGGGAGAGGGATGGCAGAAGGGCCCGGAGAGAAGGCTTGAGGAGACAAGCACAGGACAAGCCCTTGACCTGGACCAGGAAGGGAAGAGGAGGAACCCGGGCAAGTGGGAACAGGCCCAAGGGCAGTGCAGGCTCACCTGCGGGGACGGGGCCCGCCTGGGCACGGGCTGCGCGGCTTGCTGCTGCTGGTATTCCTCCTGCTGGAGCTGCTGGGCCAGCTCCAGGTCACTGAGGCCCAGCGGACCTGGTGGCTGCTGCTGCTGCAGGGACAAGGCAATCAGGTAGTCCTAGAGAGAGCAAGAGTGGTGAGGGCACTGAGGCCTGGGCGAGGGAACCTCAGGCTGGGTTTCCAAAGCAGCTTTTCCTTGTCCTTCAAATTCTGTATCATCACATAGAGGATGAGGGTTAAAAGAAAAAAGCCAGGCGCGGTGGCTCACACCTGTAATCTCAGCACTTTGGGAGGCAGAAGCGAGAGGACTGCTTGAGTTCAGGGATTCGAAACCAGCCTGGGCAACTTGGTGAGACCTCGCCTCTCCATTAAATAAAAAAATTAGCTGGGCATGGTGGCATGCACCTGTGCTTCCAGCTACTTAGAAGGCTGAGGCAGAAGCATCACCTGAGCCCTGCAGGTGGAGGCTGTGGTGGCTGTGAGTGTTCCACTGCACTCCAGCCTGGGCGATAGTGAGATTCCTACTCCAAACAAACAAAAAAACTTTCTAGCTCCTTCTGCCTCCAGAGCAAAAAATAGCCAAGTTTATTGGTTTTTGTTTGTTGGAGTCGGAATCTCACTCTGCCACCCAGACTGGAGGGCAGTGGCACGCTCACGGCCACCGCAGCCTTGACCTTCTGGGCTCAGGCAATCCTTCTACCTCAGCCTCCCTAGTAGCTGGAACTATAGACATGCCCAGCTAATTCTGTCAAGCATATTATCTGGTTCTTCCGTGGCCCAGAGGTTGACAGAGAGCGCGGAGGCATGGGTGTCATAAGTTATGGTCTCTAGAGGATAAAATACGCGCAGCTCTCTATGGCCAGAAGCTCTCTGGCGCACATATGTTCTCTACACCTTGCCCAAGGGCCCTACACACCTGGTCTACCTGCAGCTGCTTTTCGGGGGAGCCACTCCCACCTTCTGCTCCAGGCCCCTTGTCCAGAGAATGACTCAGGTGAAAGTCGGAGTCACAGAAGCAGCTGTCTCCATCCACGTTGTGCAGGCTCTCCCATACCACCTGCTCTTCCTGTAGAAAGCCCTGGTCAGTGACCAGTAGGTACAAGTGACTCTGCCAAGGAAAGAACAGAGCTGATTGGTGGGGCAGGTGAGGCAGAGGCAGCTGACTGCCAAAAAGTGACCCAAGACAACAGTTGGGGACCATTGGAATCAACCTGTGAGTGAGCTGGCATGTGTTGGAGTATGTGGGTCTTTTGGGAATGTATGTAGCCCTGGCAGAGGAAAGGGATGTCCGGGTGCATGTCTGGTTGGGCGTGAGTATGGCGGCGGTTTTGGTCAAGTGTGGAGTCCTCAGGGCTGGGTGCCACACAAGATCCTGTTCCCCACCCTGTTTTCCATGGTTCTCTGGGCTTGCCCAGCGGCTTTGAGGATAAATCCTTTGAGATCTGGAGACTCCCTCCTCTTCTACTCAATCCCTTGAGAGCTTTGGCAATTTTTCCTTCCTTCCTTCCTTCCTTCCTTTCTTTCTTCTCAGAGTCTCACTCTGTTGCACAGGCTGGAGTGCAGTGGCATACTCACGGATGCCACAGCGTCAACCTGCCGGGCTCCGGCAATCCTTCCGCCTCAGCCTTCCAACAAGCTGTGACTACAGGCGCGCGCCACCACACCCGGCCAATTTTTTAAAAAATTTATTGTAGAGACGAGGTCTCACCAAGTTGCCCAGGCTGGTCTTGGACCGCTGGACTCAGGCAATTCTCTAGCCTAGGCCTAGGCCTCCCAAAGTGCTGGGATTGCAGGCATGAGCCACTGAGCCTAGCACTTCGGCGATTTCCAACGTTGGAAGCCTGGCTGCCCCTTCTTGAGAGAGAATTACATCTTCCTGTCCCATTGATGGCCGGCTTGTCTCTTAAGACTTGCTCTTGCCAACAGAATGAACAGAAATGACACAGTCATTTCCAAGCAGAAGCTCATGAGTGCACAGTGTCTCTCTCTCTCTCTTCACTCATCTATCCCAGAGAAAGGCTCCTTTGTCAGCCTGGGTCCCTGAGTGAACACAGTATGGGACAGAACTGGGGCCAGGCCACAATGGACATGCAGCACAGGAGAAATGAGCCCTTGCTGTGGTAAACCATAGTGTGGTTTAGGGGGCTTTTGCCACCATGGCTTAATCTAGCTTATCCTGACTGAAACTCTGACCCAGGAGAACAAGACATAAGGAAATGATGGCCCTCCAACCCGCCACCCCCAAACCCGCATCACCTTGTGCTTAGTCATAGTGCTAAAGTGGTTGTTTCGGAAAAAGACACTCAGTTCACCCTCCTTGGCGGCCGCCGTCAACTCACACAGCCCGTGGTAGGTCAGCTGGGCCGCGGTGGTCTCCAGGAACTGTTCTGCAATCAGGCCTGCCGAAGGGGCACAGATGGGGGGAACCTGGCTTAAATTCAAAGTCCAAGACGGGAAGGCTCATCCTGAGAGCCCCTGTCAAAAGCCCTGGGGCGAGTCCCACCTTCTGAAATCCCTTCCTTGCAGCCTGGCTGTGTTCATTCATTCAACAAATACAGAGCAGTTACCTTGTGTCAGGCACTGCACCAGGCACTGGGAAAACACACACATTAGGAACGAGAAAAAGTCCCTAGACCCCCTCAGGGGAGCTTCTATTCTAGTAGGATGTGGTGGGAGATGGCAGATGATAAACAGTAACCCTGAGTCACCACCATTCCCTCTATCATATCCACAAAAAGGGCAGGAATGTCACCTTCTGTCACAAGGTTGGTGTCACTGGAGTGTTTGCAGGTGATGATCTTCTCTACCAGTTGGTTGTAACTCAGTTTCCCCACTGCATTCACAGCCTCAGGACTCTGCATGGTAGTGGGTAGGGCAGAGCAAAAAATATTGAGATCTTTTTTTAAGGAAGGAAATGAACCAAGCCCACGAGGACTGCAACCCTATGATGAAAGGTTCCTGAACTTTTTATTTTTATTTTTTTAAGAGACAAGATCTTGCTATGTTGCCCAGGCTTGTCTCGAACCCCTGGGCTGAAGCAATCCTCCTGCCTCAGCCTCCCTAGTAGCTTGGATTACAGGCACACACTACCATGCCCAGCTTGTTCCTCAACTTTTTTGATTGGTTTATTTATTTATTTGTTTATTTATTTATTTATTTATTTCTGAGTTGGAGTCTTACTCTGTCGCCCAGACTCGAGTGCAGTGGCCGCTTCCGGCCACCACAGCCTCGACCTGCTGGGCTCCAGTGATCCTTCCGCCTCAGCCTTCCGAGTAGCCAGAATTACAGGCATGGGCTACCATGCCTGGCTGATTTTTTATTTTATTGTAGAGATGAGGTCTTACCAAGTTGCCCATGCGGGTCTCGAACCCGCGGGCTCAGGCAATCCACTCACCTCAGCCTCCCAAAGCGCAGGATTACAGGCTGAGCCACCGAGCCCGGCTGGTTTATTTATTTAAAGACAGGGTCTTGCTCTGTCACCAGGCTGGAGTACAGTGGCATAACCATAGATCACTGCAGCCTCAAACTTCTAGGCTCGTTATCCTCCTGTCTCAGTCTCCCAAGTATCTGGGATTACAGGTATGATTCAGTGCACCTGAATTTTTCTTCTTCTTCTTTGAGTTGGAATTTTACTCTGTTGCCCAGGCTGGAGTGCAGTGGCATGCCCACAGCTACCGTGGTCTCAACCTAATGGACTCAGGTGATCTTTCCACCTCAGACTTCTTCTTTTTTTTCTGAGTTGGAGTCTCACTCTGTCGCCCAGACTGGAGTGCAGTGGCCGTTCCTGGTTACCGCAGCCTCGACCTGCTGGGCTCCAGCGATCCTTCCGCCTCGGCCTTCCAAGTAGCTGGAACTACAGGCGCGTGCTACCATGCCCGGCTCATTTTGATTTATTGTAGAGATGAGATCTCGCCAAGTTGCCCAAGCGGGTCTCGAACCCGCAGGCTCAGGCAATCCACTCACCTCAGCCTCCCAAGGCGCGGGATTACCGGCTGAGCCCCCGAGCCCGGCTACACCTCAGCCTTCTAAGTAGCTGGAACCACAGGTATGTGCCACCACACCTGGCTAATTTTTTTAATTTACCGTAGAGATGAGGACTTGCCATGTTGCTCAGGCTGGTCTCAGCTCTGGCAATCCTCTTGCCTTCACCTCCCAAAGTGCTGGGATTACAAGCATGAGCCACTGTATCCTGCTGGATTTTTTTTTAATTGTTTTGTAGAGATAGGGTCTCACTATGTTGCCCAGGCTGGATGTTCCTGAATTTTTTTTTTTTGAGTTGGAATCTCACTCTGTCACCCAGACTGGAGTGCAGTGGCCGTTCCCGGCCACCGCAGCCTCCGCCTACTGGGCTCCGGCGATCCTTCCGCCTCAGCCTTCCAAGTAACTGGGACTACAGGCACGCGCTACCACACCCAGCTAATTTTTGATTTATTGTAGAGATGAGGTCTTGTCAAGTTGCCCAGATGGGTCTCGAACGCGCGGGCTCAGGCAATTCACTCACCTCAGCCTCCCAAAGTGCTGGGATTACAGGCTGAGCCACTGAGCCCTGCCGTTCCTGAACTTTTGATGTCTAAAGAACTGATCCTACTTGTATGTGGTTTACCTGTATTTGAATGTTACCTGCCCCCCCCCCAAAAAGGTTAAAATTTAAGGATTTCTGCACTGGGTCTGGTCTCTAAACCCTACTTCCCTCCCAAGTCTATCTAGCCCCTACCTTCCTAATCTCTACCCCACAAAGTGTTGCCTCTCTCATGTCAGCTTGAGTGGGATAAGAGTCACACTGGAGCCTTGTCACCCTTACCTGCGGATCAACAAGCCAGCCATGGTACATAGGTATGCCTAGTAGGTCGAAGACACTGCACTCAGGTGTGTACTCAAAATCAGAGACGCCTGTGAATCGCACATTTACATCCAGACCTGTGGCCAGTTTAGGGAGCACAGTCATTGCATCGTCCACATTCTGGGAGTAGAAAAAAAAGATGAGTAGTAGAGTTTTCTCTCTTCCCACTCCACTCCCACCTCCAGAAATAAAAAAGTAATCTGCTGCTTTTCTTCTCTCATTCTCTTACAAGTCATTCCATCTTTCCCTTGTCTCAACCCTTCTCTATTTTATATATTTCCTTTTTTTTCCCTAACCACTAGACCTAATCCCTAAAAATGAATATATTTTCTAGGCCAAAGATATACCCCTCTCCTCCTACTGAGTGAAATCAGAGAATCCTCTTAAGAAGCAGCAGTAGAACTCTCTTGTTTTGTTTGAATCGCGGTTTCACTCTATCATGCAGGCTGGGCAGTGGCACCCTCACGGCTCACTGCAGCCTGGACCTCCTGGGCTCAGGCAATCCTTCTGCCTCAGCTTCCCAAATAGCTGGGACTACAGGCACAAGCCACCATGCCTGGCTAATTTAAAATTTTTTTTTGCAGAGACAAGTTCTTGTTATGTTGTCAAAGCTGGTCTTGAATTCCTGGGCTCAAGTGATACTCCTGCCTCAGCTTCCCAAAGTACTGGGATTATAGGCATGAGCCACCGCACCTGGCCTAAAAGGCCTCTCTTAATATTTCTGGATGTTCCCTTACAAACCTGCAAATCCCTGTGTCTGCAGACGTTATGTCTCACCTGCTGAAAATTAAGCTGAAGTCCCTCTGACTTCTCCTGAGGCTTGATGGACAGCAGGCAATCTCCTATAAGACAGAAGCCTTGTCAGCTTACCCCACCAATTGTCCCAAAAGCTCAGCTTCCTCTTCTCCTGGAGAATGGGGGTAACATTGCAGAACCACAGTTTTCCAGAGATAGAAAGGACCTTAGAGTCTAATCCAGAAGCTTCATGTCTCAGAGGAAGAAACAGGCTCAGGAAGGTGCAGGGCCCACCTGCGATCACACACAAAAGCTTGTGGTGAAAGTGATGTCACACCAGGACTTTTGACACCTGGATCTTTGCTTTCCATTCCCCAGCCTGGCAGAGAAGAGCCACAGACCCCTACCCTGTCTGCCATGTCAGAGCCCCAAGTGGAGATACCTTCAAAGTCTGGATTTCTGGCTGAGTGGAGAGTTCTGGAACCTCTTGGGGAATTCCCTTTCAAGGTCCAGTCACTCACCGAGATGGGCCATGAGCTCATCCGATGTGATCACTTCCTTCTGGGGTGGTAGCTTCACCTGGAGGCAGAAGGAGTGATCATCACAGAGCATGGAAGGAAGAGTACATAGAAAGTGGGAGTGATGCCAGGCACAATGGCGCACGCCTATAATCCCAGCATTTTGGAAGGCTGAGGTGGAAGGGTCACCTGAGCCTAGCAGGTCGAGGCTGCAGTGACTGTGAGTATGCCACTGCACTCAGTCTTGGTGACAGAGTAAGACTTTGACTCAAAAAAAAAAAAAAGTGAACCTCCTGCCTCAGGCTCCCAAAGTGCTGGGATTACAAGCATAAGCCACCACGCCCAGCCAGATTTTTTTGTTGTTGTTGCTGGGTTTTTTTGGGTTGTGTTTTTAGTCGGAATCTCACTCTGTCATCCAGGCTGGAGTGCAGTGGCATGCTCACAGCCACCACAGCCTCGACCTGCTGAACTCAGGTGATTCTCCCACCTCAGCCTTCTAAGTAGCTGGAACTACAGGCACGCACCGCCATGCCCGGCAATTTTTAAAAATTTATTGTAGAGATGAAGTCTCACCAAGTTGCCCAGGCTGGTCTCAAACCCATGGACTCGGGTAATCCTCTCACCTCGGCCTCCCATTGCTGGATTATAAACGTGAGCAATTGCGCCCAGCCTGTTGTTGTTTTTAGGGAATATTTTATCTAACTTGTTCAAGTTGGAGAAATAGGGAGAATAATCTGGAAAACTTTGACCGGTTTGAGAAAATCAGGATGATCAAGGAAGATGGTCAGGGAAGAGTACTCCCTAGTATTTTCTGAACCCTTATCCAAACTTTCTCTTACCTTCCACTGGAGAAAGAGGATGTTCATGATGGCCAGCAGAGGGCAAGGGCCGTTGGCGCTCTGGGTGATGATGGGTGTCCGTTCCCCCTTCCAAGGGATCCATTTGACGCAGTAGAAATCTGGCTCGGGCTGTCGGGTCCTGGGGGACTGGGGGCGCTCCTGGGGCGTGGAACATGCCCCCGCTGTCTCTACCTGAGGTGATGGCCCATGGGCTGGTCCTGGTAGACTTGAGCTAGCTCCACTTGGAGGGGAATCTAGGTTGTCCGTGCCCGGGGGAGGCAGCAAAGCTTGGTCTACTGGTGCCTGTTCTCCAGTTGCCCCATCAGCACCTCCCACATCCTTGTCCTGAGGGTGCTCATCCGGGCCTGACAGGACCTCATGGTTTTCTGGGGTGACTGCTTCTGCAGTCCTGGCCTCCCCAGAGGCCGCATGCTCAGGCTGATGGTGTTCCATGGTCGGAAGGGAGTTGACCAAGGGGCACTGGAGGTGATTACTGACCTCAGGGCCTTGCCTAAGTCAGGACTGGTGTAAAAGAGAGAAACCTGGCCAATAAGGAGAAAAACATGGACTGGAAAGGGAGGGACCCAGTGCAGAAGGCTGGCTGGTGTCGTGTGGTCACTCCTGGCTATGAGTAGTATATGTCTTTCCCAGCTCGTGTCAACAGGAGGGCCCCAGGCTGAGCTCTTTTCACCTCTAACTGGCTGTGACCAGATGACACCAAAAAGGGCACAAGACTTCTAGGCTTGGGAGGGCTGACTTGGGTGGGATTGAAGACATGGGTAGAGTCAGCTTCACTGAAAAAGATAATGGAGGGAATGGAGAAAAGACAGAGAGGGAGAGTGCAAGAAGAAAGTCAGAACGGAAAGAGAAGGTCGGAGAAATGTTAAATCTGCACCAATGTTTATGAATATGATGACCTTGAGCTTACTCTGCAATCGGCACACATCAGTAACCCCTCACCACGGCCAGGACAGGAGTGATTCCTCCGCCCACCTCCAAACCCTGCCCCTTTCACAGCACTTCCTGAGCACACACAGGCTGCTGGTATCCTCAGAGCCTCAGGGATACCTTCTCCCTGCCTCACCCAAGGGTGAGAGATAACAGTCACAGAGTGCTTAGGTGAAGAGCAGGGAAGTTGCAGAGTCAGTGTCATGCCCCTGCAGGTGAAATGCCGGTGAGGAAAGGGAAGTTCTTCTCAAAGATGCCGCAGAATTTACACAACCCTACCCACAGCAAAAAGGTCTTGGGAAGGGCTTCCTGTAAGTTGGGAGGGGAAATGCAGTGATGGGCACTTGAATCAAAGATGGCGATAAGTAACTTCAAGTTGGGGCACGAAAAAGGTTCCCCATATTTCCTTCCAGGAAGCTTCTCTCCACAGGTGGGATCGAGACAGCAGCTTCTCAGTTCCTCCTTTCTCCCCCAAAAAACTGTCTAAACCCAGAGATACTCACCTGGCCACTGTTTATATGAAATACGGAAATGCTAGCTGGGCACGGTGGCTCAATCCCAGCACTTTGGGAGGTGGAGGCGAGAGGATTGCCTGACCCATGGGTTTGAGACCAGCCTGGGCAACATGGTGAGACCTCGTCTTTACAATAAATAAAAGAAAATTAGCTGTGGTGGTGTGTGCCTGCAGTTCCAGCTACTTGAAAGGCTGAGGCAGAAAGATCACCTGAGCCCAGCAGGTCGAGGATGCGGTGGCCATGAGCATGACATTGTACTCCAGCCTGGGTGACAGAGGAGATTCTGACTCAAAACCGAAAAAAGAAATATGAAAATGCTGCTGCTGCTGATTGTTGTTATTATTATTTTGAGTCAGAGTCTCACTCTGGCCTGATTACTGATTTACATAAAAAAGATTCCTTCTATATTCACTCACCTGCTCTTTATATCTATTTCCAACTAGGTCATTTTAGATGTGAATTTTTTGATTTACTGTAGAGATGAGGTCTCATCAAGTTGCCCAGGCTGGTCTCGAACCCCTGGGCTCAGGCAATCCTTTCACTTCTAACTCCCAAAGTACTGGGATTACAGGCATGAGCCACCATGCCCAGCCTGATTATTAGTTTACATCAAAAACATTCTTTCTAGCTAGGCAAGATGACTGATGCCTATAATCCCAGCACTTTAGAAGGCAGAGGCGAGAGGATTGCCTGAGCCCAGGGATTTGAGGCCAGCCTGGGCAACTTGGTAAGCCCTTGTGTCTACAATAAATTAAAACATTAGCTAGGTGTGGTGGCGCATGCCTGTAGTCCCCAGGAGGCTGTGGGAGAAGGGTCCCCTGAGCTCAGGTCAAGGTTGTACTGAGCAGTGATCATGCCACTGCCCTCCAGCCTGGGTGACAGTGAGACCCTGACTAAAAAAAAAGAGATGTGAACACTGGACCTGTTTAACGGGGTTTCTATCATCACTAAGCATAGAGGCAAACACAGATTGACATTTAATTAATGCTGTGGATAGTAAATGATAAAAAAAACCCCACAGACTCTGCCCTCTGGAAAATATCTCTCTTCAATTTCCCTGTTGCCCTTCCTCTCATTTATCAGGGGGAGAAACAGGAAGAATTTAGTTTAAAATCTTGTCTTTTTTCTGACTTTCTCCTTACCTGAAATTATGCTTCCTTTTTGAAAACCTACAGGAAAATGGAGCTGGGGGAGGCTTGGGAGATGAGGCTGAGGAACATTAAAGTTACTGAAATAAAATAAGCCTAGTCAAGCCGGGCTTGGTGGCTCAGCCTGTAATCCTGCGCTTTGGGAGGCTGAGGTGAATGGATTGCCTGAGTCTGCGGGTTAGAGACCCGCCTCGGCAACTTGGCAAGACCTCATCTCTACAATAAATCAAAAAATTAGCCAGGCATGGTAGTTCCAGCTACTTGGAAGGCTGAGGCGGAAGGATCGCCGGAGCCCAGCAGGTCGAGGCTGCGGTGGCTGGGAGCAGCCACTGCACTCCAGTCTGGGTGACAGAGTGAGACTCCAACTCAAAAAAAAAAAAAAAAGCCTAGTCACTCAAATTGATCATCCTCCTGATTCAAATATAATTTGTGCTAACTGCATAGCATTTACATGTTGTAAATTTAAAACCAGAGTAGCAAAAATTGCCAGCAGGCCTTATATGTTTTCTGTCTCTCCTTTCTTCCTCCCCTCCCAAGTGACACCTAAGGTGAGCCTCAAAGCAGACGCCAGAGTCTGGGGAAGTTAAAAAAAAAAAAAAAAAAAGCTTGAACAAAGGCAGATCTCATTTCTTATCTTTCTTTCCAGTACCAGAAACGATCAATAATTAAGTGGAGGGGTGGGTGGGTAGCTAACTGGCCAGAGAGATGAGCCAAAAAAAGCCCAGGAATCCGAGTCATGGCACCAAAAAATACAAAAATAAATAAAATACAAATAAGAAAGAAATCAGGACCTGGACACACAAGGGAGTGGTGAGGTCTCAGAGAAACTGGGCATAACTAAGTGGGCTAAGTCTTAAGAGCCAGGGACAGGAAATTCAAGGGAGAGTTTCCACCCTACAAGGTCCATACTCAGCCAGGAAGACGGGGGGGCACCCCAGCGCCTCAGGATTTCATTCTTTTCCTCTTTTCTCAGCTCCTCAAGTCCTGTGCTTTGTCTCCCGCTGGAATTATCCTATGGCGGTAGGTGAGGGAGTTAAAATAGCCCTGCTCCCTCCCTAGTCAATTGCAGTCAAGAGCCAAAAGTTGGAAGAAGCATATAAAACTGGCATGTGGCTTCAAGAAGACACTCCTCTTCCGCCAGACGCCCCTTTCCTCTCAAATCCCTTACTGTCCCATTCCAGTCTCCTTCTCGGTCTGACCCACATCTCCCTGCAACCGACGGTCTAGATTTTCCTCTCCGAGTAAGTCAGACGCCACCACACTACCCTGTCTACTTTCTCACAAGGAGGGGGGACGGTTTCGCAAAAAGGAGGAAACAAGGGGACCAAGCAGCATCCCTTTTACATATTCCTCCGCTTTATCTCCTCTGAGCAATCCCGACTTTTAGGGACCGAAGGTGGGGGGACAGCCAGGCGTCAACTCCCCAGAGCTGGAGAGGCAATGGAGAGCCCGGGGTGGGAGAAGAGGGCGAGAAGATGGTTAGAACAAAGTTCTTTTTTACCTTCGAGAAGTGGGTGCTGTCCCAGGACTGAGAAGGAGAGTTCAGCTCTGGCGTGCGATGGGGGAGGTGGGCACAAGGAGGGGAGTCGCCAGGGCCAGCTGCCTTCCAGCTGTCAACGCCCCAGCGTGGACAGGTTTACCCAGGTTTAGGAGCTGCGGTCCTGGCTGGATCGCGGCCACTTCCGGACTCACGCCCAGCACTGGGGGCGCCGGAGGGGGCTGCGGGCGGGCAGGGGCGCAACCCAGGCGCTCCCGGGTGCGCAGAGCGGCTTCAGGATTCCCGAGTCGCCGAGCCTAGGGCGTGCGCTCCAGGCCCTGACTACAAGCTGGGCTTCAAAGGAAGTTTGTGGTTTTTCTTTTTCTTCGTTCTCCCTCTCTTTCTTCCCCATCGGGACGAGGAAAAATTATTAGTCAAGGACGAGCTCCCTGAAGGAGGAGGGGCCTGCCCAGCACGGGTGGATTTCCATCAGGGCTTTCTGACCCGGTCAGCAGCTTGGTGATCAGCAGAAAGCGAGAGAGAAACAAGGAGAGAAAAACAACAGACCCTTTCTCTTCCCTCCGCCTGCCTCTGGAAGGGACGGAGCGCTTGTGCCTCTCTGGTGAGATCGGGGAAGAGCAAGTGCCTTGCTGGGTGGGGAGGAGCAGGGCTGAACAGACGCTGCTCGATCCGGGCTTTCTCCCTGGGTATGGCAGTCCTTTGCGCGATCCACAGAAGCGGGGTCGCAGAGCGTGATATTTGCATATTTACTCATTTAATGTTTTTTAAAAAAAGTCTTGCTGCTTTTTCTCTGGAGACCCCTGAGGGCTCCTTTCCAAGTCCTTGCTGTATTATGTTTTAAGTCTAGAAATGAAATCGGTTGGGCTGTGCACCTGGTAGTGCACAGAGGGCGTGGAAGAAGCCCCAGGCTCTGGGAAGGGAGAAGCAGGGAGAGAACTGGCCCAACGAGCCGGGGATCCAACACTCCTATGCTCTGGTTCTTGTTTCCACCACAAGCCCCGGCTTCTCATCAGTCACCTCCTCTCCATTTCCAGCTTGGGGAGCAGGAAAAGCTAGTGCGAGGCTGACAGTAGTAGATAAAAGGAGAGATGAATAAGTGAGGGGATATTTGATGATGAGGGCCCACTTAATTGTAGACTTCGGCCCGACCCCGGGGCTGGGAAGTGGCAGTTAAGGGAGGCTGGAAGCGAACTCTATGTTCTGAAGGGTCCTCTCTAAACTCTACTTCCGGGGCTGCCACAGGATGAAACTTCAGGCAACTCTGACGGCTGAAAAAGCAGTTGGAACAATTAGGCAGGAAGACAAGAGCCAAGGTTACGACCGTCAGAGAAAGGAAGGAGCTGATATTTGCGGAGGCTGCAGAGGCAACGGGCTTCAGAGTTGCAAAGGAGGAGGCAGCAGATGGCAAGAGACTGTAGGTTTAGGTAAAGAAGAGGGGCCAAAGGTGATTTCTAAAGTTTTCCTAGCATGGACGCCCACAGGATGGGTGGCGCTGGGTCAGTTTGGTAAAGGGGAGAATTCTAGAAGGGAAGATGAAGAGCTGTTTTGCTGTAATTTAAGATGTCAAACCAGATGCTGGGTGTAATACATGGAAGGATGCTGCACTTAGCCTGGTCTGAGAGGGAAAGTGCAGATGCCACCAAGATGGGTTACTGTGACACATGCACGTTGTCTATCAAATGACTGATCCCTCAGGAAGTTCCCCTTCCCTCATTTGTTAAAGACAGTTCGGAGTCTCTGGACTACCTTTCCCATGACGCCCTGCGCCACGCCCTCCCGCTTCGCACCTCCGGAAAGACGACCCAGGAGTCTCTGGGCGCAGAACTCCGCCCCCGACGTTAGGGGCGGGGCGACGTCCGACTAGGGCGCGCCCGCTTACGCACTTCCTCCCGAGGTCGGGGGCCGATTCACCGTGTGGCGGGTTCGAGTCCCGCCTCCTGATTCTGGGCTATAGCTTCTGTGTCCCGGACGGGGTGCATTCGCCCGGCGAACCTCTCCTCGACAAAGGGTGACGGCGCACCTTGGGCTTCACCATGGAGGACTACCTGCAGGGTTGTCGAGCCGCTCTGCAGGTAACGGATCCTTGAGAGTAGGGAATGGAGCACGGGGTCCAGGACGGACGAAGATGTGGGATCTGGGGGAGCCCCGGCGGTCCGCGTGGAGGGAACACTGACTTGTGGGGAGGGGGCTTGGAGCCTGATCAGGCCCGGGGAATGGGCGAGGAGCAAGTGAGAATGCGGCTTCATCTCCTGGTTTTGGGGTCTCCGCCTTTGGGGTCTGCCCGAGAGCGGGGAGGGGCAGTCTTGGGTCCGGGTCTCGCATTCGAGCCTCTGCTTGCTGTCGCCTGGGTCAGTGCCATCAGAAGGACCCAGGACCGTGCCGCCGCCAGCCGTGCCCGGCGAGGTGTAAGTCTTCTCCCTCCCCGCCCCTCTTTCTGCTCTCCGCTGCTCGCAAGGCCGCCCATGGCCCACTGGCCTCTAGGTGAACCCAGGGGCGTGGAGGGGAGCTGTGCTCAGGGGTGTATTTCCTCCGATCCACGGTGGTTTCTCCGGCGGTCTGAACTCGTTCCTAGATTCGAGGTGTTCGTGGTGTTTTACTCTAAGTCAGTGTTTTTAAGCCAAACATACAGAACACATCAGGCATATTTGTTGACCCACACCCTGCATTCCTTTGCCTCCAGGTTTCTCCCTTGGCTTTAATGCACATAGATTACATCACAATCCCCTCCTTGGAAGGGATAAGCACAAAGTGTATTTAGAATCAAAACCATAAGCGTGACTACCGAATGTTTGTGGCTTATTTTTGGTAACTTCTGAACCGTTTGGACTCACCCAGCCATACTGACTGGTCATGAGGCATTAGTCTGTTATCCCAGTTAGCAGCAAAAAACTAACCAGAGAGAGGTTCCAGGAGGTTATCTGGGCTCCCCTCCTTTGAGTCATACTGCACTGGAAGAAACCCAGACAGATGGCTGACGATGCCTGTCTTTTTAAATGTCTTGCACTCTACAAATTCCTCTGGGTAATAGATTCTGGTCTTAACAAGTCCTAAAAGTCACCTAGTTCCTGCTGCAGACTCAGCTGCTGTGATAAATGAATGTCCTCATATGGAATTGGGGCAAATTTCAGTTTTAACACCAATGATCTCACATCCCTGTGAAAAACAAATTGAGAAAATTGTTTCAATGTATAAAGCAATTTGGAACCAATTCATTTTGGTTGCCTCTGATTCTACCACAGGGAGGTCTTTGGAGGACTAATGTAGAGGTTGTTTGGTTGTTTTTTTTTTAGTTTTTGAGGTGGAGTCTCACTCTGTCGCCCAGGCTGGAGTGCAGTGGCAGGCTCCTGGCCACTGCAGCTTTGACCTGCTAGGCTCAGGTGGTTCTTCTGCCTCAGCCTTCCAAGTAGGTGAAACTGCAGGGGTTCACCAGCACGCCCAGCTAATTTTTTTATTTATTGTGGAGACAAGGTCTCACCAAGTTGTCCGGGCAGGTCTCGGACCTGTGGGTTCAGGCAATCCTCTCACCTCAGCCTCCCAAAGTGCTGGGACTACAGGTGTGAGCCACTATGCCTGGCTGTGTAAAGTTTTTGTGGGACAGTTCTAAGTGCTAAAAGCTGAATTTTTCTCCCAGTAACCCAAATGTCTGGTCTCTTTTCCGCCATTTGATAAAGCATCCTTGAACCTGAAACCTCACCAAATATTTATTTTCATGCATTTATTCTCTAACATACATCGTTCAGAGCCCCCACCCTCACCCCTGCCAGGGTCATAGTATATTCACTACAGCAGTGTAAAGCTTGGAAAAATGCTTGATTTTTTTCTAACATTGTTGGTATCCTGACTTTTCTCTCCCTGTGTTCATCCCCTAAGGAGCAGAATCTAGATTTTTTTTTTGAATTGGAGTCTTACTCTGTCACCCAGGTTGGAATGCAGTGGCACGCTGCTCATGGCCACCACAGTCTCGACCTGCTGGGCTCAAGCAATCCTTCCGCCTCAGTCTTCCAAGTAGCTGGAACTACCATGCACTACCATGTCCAGCTACATTTTTGATTTATTGTAGAGATGATGTCTCACCAAGTTCCCCAGGTTGGTCTCGAACCCCTGACCTCAGGCAATCCTCTTGCCTCAGCTTCCCAAAGTGCTGGGATTATAGGCGTGAGCCACAGCACCTGGCCTAGGATCTAGATCTTCCTTTCAAACTTGTGAATCTGTCATAGTGAGATTTATCTTAGAGCTTTCATCACTACCTAGCCTCCCAAGTCCTGGAGAAATGAGAAAATTAGACACTAGGTATATTAGCAGGTGAACTGGCGGTAGAACACACTGGCCGATGTCAACAACAACTTAGATTGCTTTTAATTATAGAAGTAGTAAATGCCCATCATGAAAACATATAAATACAAAACAGGTATGAGTTGGGCGTGGTAGCTCACGCTTCTAATTCCAGCACTTTGGGAGGCTAAGGCAGGAGGATTGCTTGAGCCCAGGAGTTTGAGACCAGCCTGGGCAACATAATGAGACCTTGTCTCTACAATAAACTAAAAAATTAGCCAGGCATGGTGGTATATACCTGTAGTTACAACTACTTGGAAGGCTGAGGCAGAAGAATTGCCTGAGCCCAGAAAATCGAGGCCGCAGTAGCCGTGAGCATGCCACTGCACTCCAGCCTGGGCGACAGAGACTATGACCAAAAAAAAAAAAAAAAAAGAGGTATGAAATTGAAATGAAAAAGGTAAAGATCTTTTTCATCCATTTCCCCAGAGGCCACCCTGTTATGTTTCTTGTGTAAAGAGACATGATTTAAACAGACACACTCTTACGTTTGAGTGTTCCTGTTAACGATAGTTTAATTATAATTTTCAGAGAATCGTGAATGCTTGGCTTTTATCAGGATAGAGACAGCTGATGATCCAGCCAAGTCTCCCGCTGCTGCCATATTTTTAGCATTTGATACCAGAGAAATTTTCTGCAGCCTCTGCCACAAGGACAATAGGCTGTTCCATTTTTTAAAAAAACTTGTTTAACTAAATGTCCTGCTCATGGTGACTCATCTTTCACTTCTGGAGAGGAGAAATCTTTTTTTTTTTTTTGAGTTGAAGTCTCACTCGGTCGCCCAGACTGGAGTACAGTGGCCGCTCCCGGCCACCGCAGCCTCAACCTGCTAGGCTCCAGAGATCCTTCTGCCTCAGCCTTCCGAGTAGCCGGAATTACAGGCATGCACTACCACGCCCGGCTGATTTTTTGATTTATTGTAGAGATGAGGTCTTGCTGCCCAGGTGGGTCTCGAACCCGTGGGCTCAGGCAATCCACTCACCTCAGCCTCCCAAAGGCGCAGGATTACAGGCTGAGCCACCGAGCCCAGCTAGAGGAAAAATCTTTGCTTCAGGGTGGGGCTGCACTGCAGGTTGGGGTTCACCCAGGAGCCTTTGGTGAATGTGCCGGGACGCAGGAGCTGGCTCTCCTTTGAAGTTTGCAGTCCTGGCATCAGTGTCCTTCCTGTTTTCTCTGCTGTGAGGGTTTGTCTTTCTGGTCCTTTGTCTTGTTTTTTTTTTCCTCCCTCATTAACTATTTTGTAGAGTAGTTATCAGACCACATTCAGCTTCAGGACGGAAGTGCTTTTCTTGCCAGCCCTAGAGTCCCCCTCCCGTTGAGGCCACAAAGAAAATATCAGGATAAGAGTCATTTTGACTAGTGGATCTTTATATATATATATATTATAAAAGAGTGCATATTTACTTGTGGCTTTCAGATTGTATTTCTTCCATCGGCAGCTCGGGTTTCCTGGTGCTGCTAAGTATAGCTATATTTTCCCTGTGCTCCTCTGATGATCAGAGAATAAAGGCTGTTTGCTTGTGCTTTCAGCTGGTGGGGACTGGGGTAGGGGTTAAGGGTGACACATGTTTTCCCTAAATGAAGAGGTGAATGGTGTATTATAAGTCGGACAGCCAGACACCCAGTTTGCCCAAGGCGGTCTTATTTAGCCCCAGCATAATCATTAATAGTGCGGCTTTTCATTCTCAAAAGTGGCAGTTTGGATAGTAACATATGTAGTATATGTAGTCACCCAACTCGTAAGCCATGTGAGGGATTCAGGACAGCTGACCATGAACAGATAGGGAGCCCCTTAAGGTAGAAGTTAAGTTCCATCTCAGAGCCACAGGTGCTGCATGCTGGACGTTTAGAGGAAGAGGACTGCTCTGGGTGGTCGGGAAGGCTTCACTGAGAATGGGGGCTTTAGGCAGACTTGAACGGATGGGGAGGGTGAGAAAAAGGAGGTAGAAGGGATCTCCTCTTACTATTAGAGAGTATGCACTGAACCCATCTCACAATCATGAAATTAGTTACGATATTATACTTTTTTTCTTTTTGAGTTGGAGTCTCACTCCATTGCCCAGACTGGAGTGCAGTGACACGCTCATGGCTCATCATAGCCTCCAACTCCTGGGCTCAGGTGATCCTCCCTTCTTAGCTTCCCAAGTAACTGGGACTATAGGCCTGTGCCACCACGCCCAGCTAATTTTTTACAAATTTTTTGTAGAGACAAGGTCTCGCTATGTTGCCCAGGCTAGTCTCGAACTCCTGGCCTCAAACAATCCTCTGCCTTAGTCTCCCAAAGTGCTGGCGTGAGCCACCCTGCCTGGCCTATCATTTTTATATGTGAAAATGAGGCTTGGGCCAAAGTCCCAGAACAAGAAACAGAGCTGGAATTCAGGCTCAAGGTCTGATCTCTCAAGTGGCAGTTCTGCTTTCAACCGAGAAGAACAAATCATGCAAAGACCAGAGTCGAGAATGTACATATCATGGTTTGCGGGTGGTGAATAGCCCAGTCAGGCCAGGGTGATGGTGGGTGTTGGCAGGGGAAAGGAATGCTGCCACCTCCCTTGGTCACCCCGGTCCGAGATTTGCTGCAAGCCCTGAGTATGCCTTTTGTATTCATTCCTTTGAATTGCTGTCTGGGTCTGGCTGAGCGCAGGGGGTGGACGTCCACCTTCCTCTGGAGATGATGTCTCCTCTCAGAACCATGAGGTTGTTGTACTGGATCCCTCCTTTCTGTCCTTCTGCTCAGCCCTCT